TTCCCAAAAAAGGCAGAGTAACATGGGATGCACATACCTTACTTTCTATCTAGTCCAGGCTGTTGGTCAAGTGGTCGGTTACCTATTCAATGCACACAAATAATATTTTATTAACTAATTAATTTACTAAACTGAAAAATAATATTAAATATTTTAGTGAAGAAGTGCTAAATTACATAAATGTCCCTGAAATTTTGGTGAAATTACAATTGAACCAATGAATCTTAAAAATGTGAATTTTTATGTAAGTAAATATACAAATTATATAGAACATCCAGATGCATTCTAAACGTAACCTAAAAATATAATGTAATGCTAAAATTATATAGAATAACTAAGTGCATTGTAAATATACGCTAAAAATATGATATAAGAGGTCAATCTCAAAAACAACAAAAGGATCTCGAGTCTAATGGTTAATTCTTAATAAATTATGAGGGAAAAGAAATTTAATTCATGGTGCTCACAAGCGTAAGTTTAAAGAGTATCAAATAGCCTTTGTTACCTTCTCTCCCCTCTTACTTCCCCCTCTCTAAATGAGTGAAAAGAGAGTTTGGCTACCATATCAGCCAAATATCATTTGATAAAAGTATAGCAGCAACAGCTCGATGGAAAGCATACACAACCACGATGAACTCTATCGTTTTGTCTCCATGAGATTTTATGGGAAAAGAGAAGAAAAGGAATTCAAGTGCTTTTTAGAAAATATCAATGTTTAGATGAAGGGAGTTTTATAGCTATGATTCATAAAAAAGTTAAAAAAATAAAAAATAAAAAGAAATATTCCTGATTGAAATATCCGAATGAACTGGCATCTTATCATTATCTTTACTCGCAGAATTTGGAAGAGTAATTGGCAGATATTCACTGGGTTTCACAAGGAATGGAGGAACCAGGATCACATTTGAATAAGGTAATAGATGTTGCTGGCAAGTAGAAAGATAAAAAAGGCAGGACATCACCGTCACTATCCTACTATTCTAGCCAAAAAAAAAGAGAGAGAACTTAAAAAAAGAAGGAAAGCTTGGGATTTAGCTTCCACCGGTTAAGTCAGACTTAGAAATAGAAACTAGATCCTCATTGCATTGGGGAAATCGCCAAGCGAAAGCAAAAGAAACAAGGCTGTTTTTGGTCCTTTCTAGTAACTTTGTTAACAAAAAATGCTTTCCTGGAAAAAAACTATGCCAAAAAGCTCATTTTTTACCGCAACTTCCAAAAGAAAAGGGAAAAAAAAGAAAAAACATTGTTTTTCAAGCCAAGCCACTCTCTGATCTTTCTAAATGTAAAAATTAGGCACTATATAGAAATGGACTTTCCTAGAAAAATATATTTTTCTTAGTTTAGCAAGAATCTTACACACCAAAGCTTTCTTGAGATCCTCGGAGGAAGCTCCGGACTAACACAAAGTAGTTGTGAGTAGAATTCCTGCCACACGTAATAAAACCTCAGTGCTGCTTCCCTGCTCTATATAAACCCTGCAGAACCATGTAGAATAATACATTAACTAAACCCATCTACAGATCCACACCAATAGCAAGTTTACACAGGGAAAGAGAGGAGAGGAGAGGAGAGAAGAGACAATGGCCATTGGAGCAGCAGACATGATGCTCCGGTGTGTCTTTAACGGAAGCTTAGGAATACATGAAATAGAGATTGAGCGAAGGCCATACCATCGAAATTGCGGCTGTGCACTGCATAATTTGAAAGGCGTATATCCAAATGTTTGTTTCCAGAAAAGGAATATAACATTCCCTAAGAAACAGGGCTGGATCAATTGTTCCTTGTCTCTATCAGCTTCCCAGTTCTCTCTTCAATCTTCTGTTCTCAATGAATCACCAAGTAGATGCAGAGAAGAGGCAACTGTTTCATCACATAGATGAGATAAATACGTTGGCTTAATAAAGCCAAATAGATACAGGTTAGGAATTTATAGACTCTTGTATCTTCTTCTTCTTCTTCTTCTTCTTTTTTGTTACTTATATTTCTTTCATCTCGATTGCTCCTCAACTCGAGTTAAATGAATTCACCATGATCATTACCAAAAGCAAAATTTATTCTGGCTCCATTCCAGTAAATATAGGAATGCTTGAGGTAACTTTTTATTGCTATCATTTTCTTTTTGGTAATGCTAGACGTACAAGTAATCAATCAAGTTCAAATTTTGTCCATCTCCCCATTGTGATTTTAGAGTTTGCAAGGGCAATGCAGCAAACTAATTTAGGATCGTTTTGCCATATGTCTTCCCAGAACCCAAGGAACACAAGTATTCAAGTAAAATAGATTAGTGAGGGAGAAACTATTAACCGCTCCAATAGCAGGTTGCCCCATGAATTTTATTGGTTTATTTCAAATTTTTGTCAAAAGATTGCCTGATTCAGATTAACAAAAACCTGAAGTGGTCAGTTTTCAGCACAGCAACTTCCCAATATCCCATTAGACCAGTTAGTTGCCCACACAAAATCTCTGAATAATGCATCAACGGAATTATGACTGACACCAGCCTCCATACAACTTTTGCAGTTTAAGTTACAAAATCTAAAAGGAAAAGGCAAAAACATTGGCTATGACAATTTCATATCCTTGATTTGGTATGAGTGGAGCAAAGGCATCTAGCTGTCATCAATCTATCCAGTGAAAACTTGGGGAGAGCATAAGTTTTCCTAAACTAAGAATTATCACGCACCAAAAATGGTAAACTAGATAAAATAAATAATACAAGATGGAAATGAGAATTGTCTGCATCACACTAGACTCTAGTAGCATTGCCTCAAAGCTAGAACAAGTATATTAGTTCCATGGCTCTGAGATTACCTGGCCAGTATCAGTAAGCTGTAGAGTTACAGCTTTTGGAGTCTGGAGATTTGAAGTCAATAGTGCTACATTACATAAATGAACCATTCTGTAAAATTAGCCGACTATGTTTTATGAAATGGTATATCTGGAAGAAAAAAAGAAGATCTGTCAAAATGGCAATCAGCTTCTGATATCATCTCCAGACAAGTAGAGATGCAAATGTTGAACTTGAGTGTATAATCTAGTTTATAGATGCACATATTGAAGGCGTAACATAATACTCAAATGGGCAGCCAGGCAAATTTTTGCCATCCACTTCTCCGTTTTCTCTTTGATATCTGTCAATTTAAAACTTACGCCATTGGTAAATGACTAGATCCCATTCTATAGAATTTCAGAGAATATACCGAAAGAAGAATGAACATATTAAGAAATAGAAAGGTCTTGTGACAGTAATAACTTTCATCATTTCCCATAAAATGACAACCCCAAATTGCCCTTCATAAAAGAACAATGTGACAGAAGTGACTAAAAGCAAAAGCCAGGATGGAAAGAAGTCAGTTGGGCAGGGTCAAGTCTCTTATGAAAGCATAGTTTCAAAGCAGACAAATATTATGTGGGAACAAAATCATGTTCATCAATATCAAAGCACATCCAAGACTATCCATCTGAAGACAATGGCAGTCTCGCTTTTCTCCCTCTATTCCTTGCCGTCCCATTTCATCAGTTGAACAATGCACCAAGTAAACAACACAAGAAGATAGGTAGGTGTGTCTAAAACATCACATGGCATCCAACCGTACAATTCAAAGATTTGACAAGGACATTGTTTCTTTAGCAAGAAATCGACATATAAGTACAAAAGCCATAAGGTGGAAATCCCAATTTTCCCCATTTCGAGAGTAAATCATATACTGATTGATTCTGAAAGTTATCATCTTGACCTTTCTCACTCCAATGATTTTTTATATGTACGGTAGAACCATTAAACATTATACGTGGACAGTCAAAAGCATAAAGCAATGAAATCTCAAAAGCTGTATACTTAATGTAATGTGCCGTATCTTTTTTTTGAGTGTAAAGAAGATACCATAGACAAAAGGCATCAAAGGGTTGACACCCAAGTGAATAAGGGAGAATTTACAAGAAGGCATCAGCCAGAATATTAAAATGTCCCTGAGATCTTCTTCATTGTAAAAAGGACCATTGAACAAAATATGAGGTCTGGAGCCAGCAATGTCTGATCCTGAAATGATGTGTCCAACTTATTTGTTTACAAAGTACAAATTGAAAATACAAAAGTTTCATTGACTTTCTATCCGGGTTTATAGAGGACCTTAGCATTTAAAACCATAAAAAAATTGTAGAAACAGAGTAATGCAAACCAAAAAATTTGTGAATGAGTACCTTCCAAGTGTGGAATAAAGATTTCCTGTCACCTAATTCCATGAAAAACAGAGGAGCCAAAGAAAGGACACAGCTTGTATTCTTTTAATATTTCCTATATATTTACTCCAGTTCATCTGTCTGAACGTGCAGGTTGTATCTGCAGAGACCAAGTTTTCAACCCCCCGCCCCCGCCAAACCAGCAAGTTAAGAAGACACTTTCGTTGTTTGTTCTTTTTCCTTCTTCCTGAGTTGCTAGGCCTGTTAAAACTTCCAGCACACAAAAATTGTTTTCTGGGAGGATATTTTATTCTTCCCTGCTTTGTGTATATTCTCCTTTTCTCTTAACATTATTTCTTGTTCTACAAAAAATAGAATTTTTACATAATTCATCACCTAGATTCCAAAACTTAGCAGGTAATAAGGTACATTACATTATTGAATAAAAAATAGTACATGGTTTATCACCATTTGTCTCTTCTGCCAAAGTTGCTAATGCCAGGTAATGAATGTTTTCCCCATTACAAAATGCCTATTTTAGAATTCAATTCTATATTTCACCATTCAGTGAGCCATATATAACATCTTAAAAAACAAAGAAAATATATTGGCACTCATCTAGATTTAAGGAAACATTCTTCACATCCGGTATCAGGATACAATTGAAATCCACATTTGACCACTCGGTGGGCCATATATAACATCTTTAAAACAGAAAGACAATATATTGGCACTCGTTGGATTTAACAAAACATTCTTCACATTGGAAATCAAGATACAATTGTCTACTCAAAAAAAAAAAAGGACTCGAGATACAATAGGAATCCAAGATACAATGGTTTCAATCAGTAAAAGAAGAGACAATATTAAAGTAAATATATATGCAAAGAAGTGACAAATGAAACATTCCCTTTAAGTGATGTCATGCTAGAACATGAAAGAAAAATTACTGGTGAAACATTTGGTTTAGCGGATGATATACTTGAATTAAGTTCTTGCATTTGAAAGTCACCTACATTACAAATAATTATAAATGAGAATATCAATTCTAACGAGTCAATTAAACATTGTTCAGAAGAAAACAACACTCAAGACTCTCCATCTATAATGAATTCCAAAGTCAAAGCAAAACAAGACAAGCTAAGTCAGCATCCTTTGTTCCTAGGTTGGCTCTTTATCCATGTTTCCAAGAATTAGGCCATGATTGGAAAGTTCCCCTTGAAATATATGTTTACCATAATTCTAAACTGCTTTGAAGAATTGTCTGGACCTGTTGTAACTTTTATTCTATAAGAAAGTAGCTATACAATATTTTCTTCTATAGGTAACTTCCAAATTCTTCCTCTAGGAAATCTGCTACCCTACTCTATATGCAGTAAACATAGAATACCAGCTCTCAACATTTCAAATCATTATATAAAACCAATCCACTCCAATAACATAAAAAGATCCACAGACACAGGAAAGGAAAACTTCAAAAGTGAAGCAGTGGAGATGATGCTTCGGTGTGTCATTGCTGTAAGCATTCCATTGCAAAACTTGGATATTGAGCGGAGGCCATATCACCGCAACTGCAGTTGTGCATTACACAAGCTGCAAAGCATTTGCCAAAATGTTTGTTCTCAACAAAGGAACACTTTGTTCCTCAAGAAAAAATCACAGGATGGAGGTTCTTTATCTATAAAAGCTTTGAAGTTCTTTTGTCAATCTTCTCCTCTCAGTATTTCATCAATCAAGCAAAGAGAGGATAACAAGGGTCCCTTACCAAGCAGAGGACAGAAGTTTGTGGAAGACTTGACAAATCCAAGTTAGAGACACACAGTAAATACAGAGAAGCAACTGCTATATATGTTTTTCGCTATTTCTATACCAGATGCATTTGATGTCAAGATAATAATAATGTTGACAGGAATTCTACATAGCATCATATTAAGCTCAGTCCCATATAACATCATGCCTACCTTTATAAATAAAGAGAGAAGAAAAATCAAGAGAAAAATTTTTGCTTCTTCAAGTCTTCAGATTTCTAGGGTCCGAATATTTCAATGTTAGGTTGATATCCAACACCTTTCCTGGTTTTGTTTCATCAAATGGACTCAAGAATATTCCTTCTATCTGTCGGAACATTGTTTACCTGCCACTGTGCATGAATAAAGCAGCTTAAGCAGACTAAACCCCAAAAATATTGCAGCACTTGCATCACTGGTAGACATGCATCTTAATGGATCAGTTCTCAAGAATAAGTGCTTAGGTTATGTCAATCAGTTCACTCTGACCTGTTGGATTCCTAAACCTGGCTCTTAATAGGACATAAAAATATGCTCCAGTGTGAAGTGGATATAACTCATCTATTGTCATTACATTTTTTTTCCACCAAGAATTTTCTAGATCCATAGTTGCAGAAGATTATACTATTACTCAACACCAAAATGCCTGTATGAATATTTATTTTCCAGCCAAACCCAAATTTCACCATTCACCAAATCACACACATAGGATCCCTAAACAATGTTAAAATGCAACATTTATTTAAATTGAAAGAAACCCACGTGGAATTTGGAACTAAGACATTAGATCCCGCAGAAAGCCATCAAAATTGAGGTTGAATTAAAGTTGCTTTTTTAAATTTTAGAAGTATGAAGCTCCACTATTGCTTGATCCTTGAAGGGTTTCATGTTTGGGTGAAGCTTTGTAACTAGCAATGTTACACTTAAACTTTCTATTCAACTGAAATAATCACCGACCTCACAAGTAAAAACAAAATTGGAATTACCTTTTGACAAGCCGATTTAAGAAACATTTATTCAGGTGTAAAAAACAATAAAATCCTAGCTTGCTATAAATTCCCAAGCAAAGCCAAACTAGACTGCTGCCTTTGTTCCCATGAGGCAACGAGTCTCTTGGTCTCTCTAACGATAAATATAATTTGCATGCTACCCAAGATACTAATATTTAAAAGTTACATTGACAAGCTCGTGAGATCATTTCAATCCGATTCCTCTTTCAATTCCAAATACCTAACGTGTGCAGCACATGAAACCTTAGATGCTACCTTGGCAACTTTATAAGAACTCTATTACTAAAACATTCAGTACTTCAAGCACATTTCTTCAAGTAACCATAAAGTCCCTCTAATTAGCTTATTTAGTCTCAGCTCATACGACTAAAAGAATCCAATAATAATTTGTGGACACTACCATGAATACAACGAAAATCGAGACTTCAATTTATACCTAAAGTTTTACATTAGCCACTCGTGTACTCTGTTCCTGTGTTTATTATATTCACATGATGACTATTGCAGTATCGCGCGCGCGTCTA